TTATCATTTGCAGCAACCTGGATGGAATTGGAGAACATTTTGCTGAGTGAAATAAGCCAGTCAATGAAAGAAAAACACCACATGATCTCATTCATTTATGGATAATAAGGAACATTATAATCTGATGAACAAAAAGTTAGATACAGTGACAGTAAAGAAACAAACAGACTGTCAAATTACAGTGGGGAGGGGAGGGAGATGTGGGTGAGATAAGAGATCAACCGAAGGACTTGTATGCATGCATATAAGCATAACCCATGGACACAAAATCTGGAGAGGGAGGGCGTGTATTGGCGGGTTAGGCGGGGGTTGATAAGTATGTACACATAAAATACCTTAATAAAAATAAATAAATAAAACAAGCAAACAAAATGAAAAAAAAGTATAAGCATATACCTTCTATTTCTTTATCAAATGACCACTTTCATTCTAAACTACTTAGATACCTTTCTTGTTTTGTTTTTAGAAATAGCACAATGTGATTCATTGTGTTGATGAGGAACCAAAACAATAAAATATCTAAGATGACTCATTTTTTTATGTAAAATCTAATCAGTTGCCCATATATCTAGACCTGAATTGCCCCATGCTAGCCATCTGCTTCATGTGACCACTGAGCACTAGAAAAGTGGCTGGTGTTAAATTCATTAAACAAAAGGGCCATTAGGCTAATGTAGTTGTAATGTCAGTTACATAAACAACCCCAAATATAGTTGTATAAATGCCTCAAGGTTCAGAAATTAAAACAATGCAAAATGAGGGGTTCTCCAATTTTCTCTTTGTAAATATACAATACTCTCATATTTGTGTTGTATAGCTTTTAACATGAACTACATGAAACTTAGTTTGCTACAATTATTCTGTTCAAATCATTTCTATTACAAAGTGCCTGTTTTAACAAGTGTACATGGCTTTTTTTGATTTCAGAGGAAATATTTGGGTGAAATTCTGAACTAGGTATGTGTGAATGAATTTCATGTTACACAAATGGACAAAAGAGATTAGAGATTGTTATTTTTATGACATTCCTTTGAACCTGGGAGCTGATGGAAGAGATGGTTTCAAGGTTGCACACAGGAAGTGCCCGTCAGTTGGGAGCAGAGATGGTGAAATGCACTTCTAGGAGACATCATGTGTCTTTCCCTGTTCTTTCCTGTCTTGCATTCTAAACAGCACTCTCTGCTGCCCCCCAGAGGTTCTATGAGTCCTTAGTGAGGGCTGCAGAAAGAGAAACATAGGCATAAGCAGATAAGTAATGATTTTTCTGCACCCATTTATAATTTGGGCTTCCTCCTTCCCCCCACAACACACACACACACAAACACACACCTCCAAACACTTCCCATGACATGAGCTGGGTGTCCTACAATTCAATTCAATTTTGACACTATCTTCTAGGATAGTGAGTTTCAGCCTTTTTCATCTCATGGAACACATAAACTAATTCCTAAAATTCACCCATGACATGAGCTGGGTGTCCTACAATTCAATTCAATTTTGACACTATCTTCTAGGATAGTGAGTTTCAGCCTTTTTCATCTCATGGAACACATAAACTAATTCCTAAAATTCTGCAGCACACCAAAACATATATATATATTGCCAATCTGAAAAAAGGGGTATAATTTTTATTCATTCACACTGGAATGCTATTGTTGTGTTGGCTGGTGTTATTTTTTTATTTCTTATTTGACAATCTAAGGGAAAAGAGGTTAGTGTCCCTGATTAAATAGTTAGGTATTGCATGTTTGTTTGTTTTTAAATTGCATTTTTATTGATTTCAGAGAAGAAGGGAAAGAGAGAGAGAAACATCCATAATAAGAGAGGATCTTGATTGGCTGCCTCCCACATGTCCCACACTGGGGATCGAGCCTGCAACTCAGGCATGTGCCCTGACTGGAAATTGAACGATTACCTCCTGGTCGATGTTCAAACACTGAGCCACACTGCCATGCATATTGCATGTTTTAAAATTCCCTAAAATTCCACTGGTTGAAAATCAGTGTTCTAGGAGATAGTGTCAGATTCCACAATTGAAGAGTTTAGCCCTAGAAGACTGTCCCCACTTCAGGGGCCAGTTGCAAGTGTAGGTCATCTCCTGTGCTTCTGGCCCACCTGCTACACATATAAGATTCCTATAACACCTGATTTTGGCTTGATTAACCTGCTACAATGGCACACAAGCTCAGAGAAATAGTTTGCTCACTTAAAAGCCTATTAACTCAGGAACAGCGAGATGGGAGAGATGCATGGGGCAAAGTGTGAGGAAAGGGTGCAGAGCCTCTGTGCCCCCACCTCTGCAGGCACCACTCTCTCCGCATCCTCACTGGACACCAATCTGGAAGCTCTACAATTTGATCTTTTCAGGAATTTTTGAATATATTATAGGCCCAGATGCACAAAATTTGTGCACGCAAGGAGGGTGGGGGGAGGGGTTCCCTCAGCACAGCCTGCATCCTCTCACAGTCTGGGAGCACTCGGGGGCTGTCTGACTGCCAGCTTAGGCCCACTCCCCCTTCTGCACTGTTGTAGAGGCAGCCCCACTGGGTGGGGGGCATGGCTTGAGGTCCCCTTTTAAGCTCCATGGGGGTAGGGGGAGGGCATAGCCTCAGGTCCCTGCTGATTGCTGGTTAAGGCTCCTATGGGAACTTGGCCTCAGCTGTGGGTGCAACCATCTTTGTGACGGAGGTAGTCAATTTGTATATTCCCTCTTTATTATATAGGATTAGAATCAAAGGAGGAGATTTAGGAGGGATACATGAAATCCATTGGTGGTAGATTAAGGAGGCAGGAGAAAGCAAAGCAAGTAGTCATTGGGGTTGGATAAAAAGTAAAATGGGGAGACAAATACTTCTTTTACATGGTGAGTATAGCATACTTAACCATGAACATTTACAGCACATGGGAGTGGTATTCTGGGAACAAGATAGCAATGAGGGGTTCTGTGGTGTCTTGCTCTGGCGAGGTGGGTGGGCGCCAAGGATCAGAAAAAGACTATTTTGAACAAGATAGCAATGAGGGGTTCTGTGGTGTCTTGCTCTGGCGAGGTGGGTGGGCGCCAAGGATCAGAAAAAGACTATTTTGACATTTCAAAGGTATGTTATCTTAGATGCAAAAACACAGTATACAGGTTCATTTAGATAAAGACAGACCTTTGTCAAAGAAGCTGCAGGCCTAAGACGTGACTACCCTCCATGCCCTACCTTCAGGTAGGAATTTTTATGTTCAGTAAACCTCCTCGGTGGTTTACTTCAGTCTCTGAATTTATGAGACCTGCTGTGCCTTCCCTGAGCTTGTCAGGTTTAGTATGTGGCCCCTTATTCATCCACAGCTACAAAGAGATGCAGGTCCGTCCTTTATGGCACTAATTCATCTTTAAACTAGAGCACCATAAAATCCAACTGGCCTCCCTATCTTCTATTCTTACCCCACCCTGTCCTCCCTCTCCTCCTTCTCCATGTAGTCATTTCCTTATCTTCAGTATGTTTTATCACTATGAATATCACGTATTTTTTATTATCTGTATATGTGTCTTTCATTCCTAAAAGACTGTGAGCACTTCAAGAGCTGCTGTCATTGCACATTAATCTGTATATTCTTTCCCTCCTTCACCCCCCTTGCCAGATCTAGTCTTATTTCTGTCATTTTTGTCAGTTCTAAAGAAAAATCGCATTTTAAAATATGCCTAACAAGAGGAGCGTTAAACTTTATAAGAGCAATGAGTCTAAATTGATTTTATATTTACAATAGTAAAATCATAAAGTGCATGTACAAAAATAGCATTAATAAAATGACAACATCCATATCATGTTTATTAATATAAAAACTGTCGAGAGACAAGTGGAAAAAATAATTTATTGCAGATTCTTTTACACATTAACATGGAACATCTATACATATATCGATGTGTTGATATGAAATACTCAATTTAAAGACATTTTTACACAAAAGTAGTCGCACTACAATTTGTAAAGATAGATATTAATAAATTATGGAGACATTGAAGAACAGGCCAATTATTCCAATAGGAATGCATTCTATGTTGCAATTAAACTAAGTTACCTGAACATGATGCCCTCGATATAATCACATCCTTCTAAACTAAGAAAAAGAAGTTAGTTTCTGAGAATAAAAGGCCAGGAGTGGCTCTGATGGACCAAGTGCCCCAGCTTTATTCTTGGAACTGGTTAGAGTCCTGAACCTGCAACCCGAGCTCATGTCATAGCTCAGCTGGGGAAGAGTGCAGCTTTCTGTGGCCACTGTGCGTACTTAATGAGGTTTAATGCAAGACATACAATACAAACAATAGCATTTTACAGGGATTGTAACTGCCACATGATTTGAATGAGCAACCAAATATTTTAACAACAGACATGTGTGCTCTAGATTTCTGAAGGGAAATTGACACACTTCAAAGTAGTCCCTATTTTCTTAGCATGATATACTAATCTTTACTTTGGGAATCTGAAAATAAATCGTTTTTTTTCTCCCTAAAACTTACAATCCACTCCTTTAAAAAAATGATTCTTATAATGCTATACACCATCATGATATAAAGTTGGTTATACATTATAGTCATTAAAATATACATGTACTTATATATATGAAGCTTGAAACAGATTTGGTCAACCATGGTTTGTATACACAAGGCCAAACACTGCTCAGTTTCATTGAACTAAATTCAACCAATATGTATTCGGTGCTTACTACTTGCAAATTACCATGTTGAGTAATACTTGTAGTAGATTTTAGACACGTGAAGCACATATCATCCACATCGAAAGCCGAACTTTAGATAACATATTAAACCTCAATAAGAATCCAAAGCAGAGCTCAAGTTGAGTAATGAGTGGTGAAAGATATACCTAAGAGAAAGGCTTGGGATCACTGAAAAAGACAAAACAAGAATTTGTATCCGTAGGGTAACAATGTTCCTAGGCTTGCCGTAGGTTAAGGGTTAACCAGAACCTAATCCCAGTCTTCCTCCCACAGTCCAAGATTCAGTTGTCATCCTGGCTTGTTTCCTTGGGAAGTGGAAGACACAAGGGATTCATTTTAGTGATGATAAAGCTGACAGAACCCCTTAAAAAAATTGTTTTCTTTAAGAGTGGGACCAGAATATCTGTCTACCTTTTTTTCTAAGCATTCCCACCAAAACTCTGGGTAAAAGAGGGCCACCCAACTACAAGGACCAACACTTGAGGTACAGTTAAACTTATCAGAAAACATCAGTAAGCATGCCAACCCCAGAAGTAAATTATTTAAAGTAAAAAAACAGCTGAAAGAGGGTAAAGATAAATATTTTAAAACTTGGCATTCCATTCCTTTCAGGACTTGTTATACTCTAAAAGCATTTTCAGGGGATGTATACATACAGGAAAAGAAATGTAATCAAGTGGTCTCACCCCTTCTACAGAACCAACACATCAATAGGGGAGCAGAGTGCACAACTAGTTTCTGATGCCACACACTGAGTGGGAAAGGCTGGGCTTGACCTGCATATGAGCAAGCTCACTGGCAGTCATGGGATTTCAGCTCTGGGGCCAGGGTTCTGAGGTCCACTCCAGCACATGGGTTCTGGCTGGAGGACAACCACAGCGCTAACATGAATCTAAAGCTTCCATTTACATTCTGGAAAAGTATAAATCACTCTTCTCTGTAGGTAAAACACCCAAGGGACCAGAATTGCCAAAGATTCCCCCAAAACATTCCACAGGGAGATCCTTGGCCCCTAGAAGGATCTAAAACCCCATGGTTGTCCAGTTGGTATTGCTCAGTGGAGAACATCAACCTATGAACCAGGAGGTCACTGTTTGATTCCCTGTCAGGGCACAAGCCCAGGTTGTGGTCTCTATCCCCAGTAGGGGGCATTCAGGAGGCGGCTGATCAATTATTCTCTCTCATCATTGATGTTTCTCTCTCTCTCTCTCCCTCTCCCTTCCTCCCTGAGTTGAGGAAAGAAGGCCCGGGGATTCCCCTCATCTCAGTTGTGTTTGAGCCAGTTGACAGAGGAAGAACAAAAAAACAGGTCTTCTCCATCCAGTGATTTTGGTTTTAATTTCAAAAGCCAGCAACCACAAAGTATCCCTTAAGAAGTATAGGGTGCCTCCAAAAACGTATACATAGATTTTGAACAATTATAAAGATGGTGTTTATTCAAATACATTTCATTTTCAAAATCGAGCAATCAGCTGTTAAAGTGTGTATACATTTTTGGGGGGACATGCTGTGTTTATTTTTCTAACTGGCTCACTGATAGTGCAGTATTTTGGCCGCTTTACTTAAAAGTTCAATTCTGGAAACAAGAATTCCTTTCAAATGAAACATGTTTTCAGTGATTAAGATTTACCTCTCCATTTTTATACACTGTCTTGAAAAAAAAAATAATAATTAGCCTCTGATGAGTCATACCTCTGTCCCTGTGTTTTTTCTGGATAGAAACCAAACTTGCATTGGTTCTTTCTTGCCTTTCATGGACACTGGGCCTCTGTGCTCCAAGACGAACTGTGGGTCTGAATTTTCTGGTGTCATAAGACATCTGAAAGACAGCGGGCAGAGAGAAGGGGGAGAGTTAGGGGGAGTATAGTTGCATGGAGAGAGGAAGTGGCATGTACCAAAGTTACAGAGACAGCAAGGACCACACACTAAAACTGTGCTTAACAGTAGTTCAAGATTTTAGGCGTGTTGATCATATCTGGAATTTCTGAGGTGATATGAAAACATTTAAAGTGAGAATAATGATGCAATCTTCTCAAATACATATTAAACAGTCCTAAGAGTGAAGGTGACAACTGCTAAACAATACAAAATTCACTCAGAAAGTGAAACCACATGCAAACAGACATTTTCCTTTCAAATCAGTAAATACCCAGACGCGTTCTCTTACCTGTACGTATATTCAGACACGTTTATTTTTCCTTTTTCTCCGGTGGTTTCTGTTCTGCTGGTGAGGTTGACGGTATTCCCAAAAAGACAGTAGCGAGGCATCCTCTGGCCTATGACCCCGGTGACTACCTCTCCAGTGTGTATCCCTATTGTTATCTGCGGAAATCAAAGCTTTGCTTCAGTAACTTTGACCACTGACTCACTAATATTTATTTTGTATTACAGAATAATGTAGAGTCACTGTACAAAAATCAGAAGAATTTTCTACCAGAACTCCAAATGTATAAATATAAAAACCCCCACACAATCTGTCTTCCAAGAGAAACATTCCCTTTCTAAAGACCTAAGATTTCAAAAATGTGACTCTGGCAACTTATGAGACACAAGAAAGAGATTTTAAGAAAAATGAAAAGAAAATAAAAGGGAAAGGAGGTTTTATCTCAATTCTCATAACTGTCAGTACACGGGGTAGACTAAGTAATTTCAGATAAGTGGAGAGATGTGCCACCTCTATGAAAAAAATGTAATACAATGGATTCTTTAAAATATTTCAGTCTTTGCTGTGAAGATAGCCGTCCTTGTACATAATTTGTGACTGACCAAGAATATGAATCGGTTGTCTACAGAGGTTGCCTACTGCCACTAGTGTCATATCCATTTTGTTTACTAACCTGAACAGATTCACCATCTACTTGAACCTGGCCAGCAATCTCCATCATGTCCAAGGCCAGGTGGCAAATGGATCGTGCATGGTGGATACACGGCTCTGGTAAACCACTCACTGTCATATACTTATCGCCAACAGTCTCCACCTAACAGAGCACAGACAGATGGCTATTGGTTAGCATAAATATGACTGTTTCATTTGCGATTCCTATACAAAAAAAATTACTTGTCCAAGGCTATCCTTAGCTTTAAACTCTCCTTCCTCTTAGTTCTGTAAAAACTTTAACAACAACATCCTGAAACTTTGTCATTATGTGAAATGTACACACACGGCAGTTGAGGTCTTTGATTACAGGCAGGAGTAGCCACAGCATTATTTTTCCTCTTGTGAGTCCTGGTGTCATACCTCAGATACCCTTATAATTCAGTAAAACAACGTATTGCCTTATTTCCCCTCCCCCAAACACAGCCAAGCAGTGAGAGTTTAATGGCACAAGAGCCACTGCCTGGAGTTCAATGATTTATCACGGTCCTTACACATTTATTTGTATGATTTGCTCACCAACTGCTACACTGAAGCTCAGAAAACAACTATAAAATAAATAGTTCTCGTGGAACTTATATTACTCCAGATGCCCGTGGATGGTTTAGTTAACATTCTTTCCTTTATGAAGCAATATTCCACTGACTTCGTTTTTCCAATGTTATCATTGCTTCTCATTGAAACCAAGGCAGAAATGCCCCATGGATGTTTATTTTCAGGCTGATGCTGTCTAAAGTTGCAGCACACGTCTCACGCTACAGGATTTCTTTACCACACAAAGCATTTACTACTATACATTTCAGCAAGAACGTCTCCTGAAACCAGTTTGGCTCAGTGGATAGAGCGTTGGACTGCTGACTGAAAGGTCCCAGGTTCGATTCCGGTCAAGGGCATGTATCTTGGTTGCGGGCACATCCCCAGTATGGGGTGTGCAAGAGGCAGCTGATCGATGATTCTCTCTCATCGATGTTTCTAACTCTCTATCCCTCTCTCTTCCTCTCTATAAAAAATCAATTAAAAATATATATAATGTCTCATACAGAGCATGAAAACAGATGCTATGTTTATATCACGTGTGCTCAGATTTGTTCATGTGAGTGCCAAGAAGCTGCTGAACATTACATTTTAACTAGGGAATCATCTGCTCCATGAATTTTGGTTACAAGAAAGAGAATGCTTTATAGCAAGCATGTCAGACCCGTGGCCTCATTTATTTGGCCCGTGTTGGCGTTTGAGTTTGCCACGCTTGCTTTATAGTAAGAGGTGATTATTTAAGATAATGGTAAGTATGGGACACATGGAGGCTTCCTATCTACGAAGGCTACACAGTCAGAGAACCGAATGGAGTGCCCCTAGAGGGCAGGGTCTGACAGCACTGCATCCCCATCAGGTCAGGACTTGCCTTATACACAAACGGATTTTTCCGGGAATCAGTCAGCGTGTCAAATCTGGTGTAGAGGTCGTTGAGGAGGTTGACAATCTTCATGGCCCCTTCCCCGGAGGCATGCTTGCTACAGAATGCGTTGAAGCCCACGATACCACTGAAGAGGATGGTCACGTTGTCATATCTTTTAGCAGGCACAGGGCGCTTGTGTCTCAGCTCATTGGCCACAGATTGAGGAAGGACAGAGTACAGCAACCTAGTCAGTGGGATTGGAAAAAGCCGGGGTAAGGAAAGCTGGGACCAGGTGTAGTGCTTCTATTGGCCATTGCATAGAACATCGATATCATTTGCTCTGTAAAGGCCTGGATTCTTATAGAGAAACCTCTACAACTAGCATCAAATGTTAGCTGTTTTGATGTCAAAACAAGACAAACAGACAGTATAAGTTATTTGTTTGATTTTTTAAGTACATACAATTCCCCAAGGTCAAAGCAATTCAAAACAAATCAAAATAAGCCAAGCAAACACGAGACCAAACAAAGAAGAGTCAGTTTTCATCTCCAGCCCTGTGTTCTGATTCTGCTGCTCGGACAGTCACTGGATGGAAGCTGTCACAGCCAGCCCTGAAGACACGGCATGGCCAGCACAACCCCGGGAGCCGTTTCTCTCTCTGGAACGAGAAACTGATTCCCGTTGTTGTCAAGCCCCATTGAGAGAAGCAGATTTCTCTCCAATCGCCTTCATCCCTCACTCTTCTGTGGAAGGAACTGGCAATACAGGTGAACCTTGGTCTAGACAAGAAAATATTTTGTTTCTCTAGTCAATCCTGAGACTGTGACCATGGCCTCAGGGACCCTGCCGAGGGGACAAGTGTGGGAAACACAACAGGAGAAGGATGATCTCTGATGATTGAATTCACAGGGAAAGAAACAGAACCCGGGGAATCTGAGGGCTCCCAGCATGAGGGCTCAGAGGGGAAAAGGAAGCCTTTTCTTCTGTGTAGTCAGAGGGCATCATGACTAGAATCACACTATGCCTAGCAGTCGTGCAAGGTTACAGGCTTACGTGTCTGTCTTTTTCTTTTCATCTTCCAGCGCTCTTAACGTGAGCTGCAGTCTGTCTGTCAGAATTTCCAGCTCCTGGGTCAGTTTGTATTCCTCTCTGAATTGTTCTCCCAAAAGAACGAGGTCCCGTGTGGCATCGTGCAGAGGGATGTCACTGAGATACAGGCCTCTCCTCGTCAAATCGTCCAGGTTCATCACACTGTTAGAGAAACGAGGCACAGTCATTCCAACTCACCCACATGACAATACCAATGTTGATTGCTGTCAGGGAGTATACTCTGCCATCTCCTAACATTCTAAAGCTTCTCAGGTTGAAAAGAGAAAAAAAAAACAAAAAACTGGAGAATTATACAAAGAATCATTATTCATTCTTCTAGAGATTTCACAATCTACCACAGAGCAGTGAATTTAAAATGCACTTTTGCCAATTTATAGTTTTAATGCTATTAGCCTAAATTGAAAGATAATGGAGACATTTGCCCTATACAACCTGCTAAGTATTTAACACAAGGCTGTGATTTATTATCACATTTCCCTTCATTATCAAGAGATGAAAACAATTGATCCTTACTCTCTTTAACAGGGATATGTGTGCTTCTTCTGAGAAACTTGTTTGTTTCTTCCTATGGATTCTGCGACTCCCATGACTGGTTGCTTTTCCCTTTCAGACATGATGATTAAAAGTTTACAACCCGATTTATGACCCATCTTCTACAAGTATTTTTTTTTTTATTTACTAGAGGCCTGATGCACGACATTCATGCAAGGGGCTCAGCCCCCACCACCGTGGCTTCATCCTGAAGGATGTCAGGTCTAATGAACATATTTCACTTTTATTATTATAGATGGCTTTCTGACATGTATTTTTATATGCTACTCTTACTTCTGGTTCTAATTTCTTATACTGCTTTTGTTTTCTTTGACTAATTTTTCTCATTTATTTGAATCCGTATATAAATTGCTGAATTTTATGCATCTTTGCAACTTAAGTCATTTTTAGAAACACTGTAATATTTATTGATTCAGTGAAGATCTGGTAAATGAGAAGTAGCTTTTTAAAAATTTTTCTTAAAAAATGTAATCTTTGGTTAAAATGTTTTAGGGTTACTTTATTGGTATGGATTCTTTAAATGGAAAGTAATTACTTTTAGAAGTTCACAATAATAATTTCTCTAAGATGACATAATTGAGATTTTACTGAAGAATTAAGGATTTCTAAAATGTCCCCCTAGAATACATTTTCAGCAGAAATGTCCATATTTAAAAGTAAAAATTAGCATGCCAGCATAGATATATAAAATGATTTTTAAAAAAAGTTTACTAATGAAGCACTTGGTCTCTTTAGATTTTGTTAAAATGAATATGTAAGTGACACTCACTTGCAGAAATAGACCCCTCTGGAAAGAGGCCAGATAATCTGATAAACTGGGCTAGACCTGCCCATAAGCGGAGAAAAAAAAAAAAGATTATAAGCTTAAAATAAAAATGAGTGGTTATGGCCCTAGCTGGTTTGGCTCAGTGGACACAATGTCAGTTTGCAGACTGAAAGGTCCCAGGTTCAATTCTGGTCAAGGGCACATACCCAGGTTGCAGACTCGATCTCAGTAAGGGAGTGTGCAGGGGCAGCCGATCAATGATTCTCTCATCATTGATGTTTCTCTCTCTTTTCCCCGCTCCTTTCTCCTCTGAAATCAATAAAAATATATTTAAAAAAATGAATGGTTATGAATGTGCAGACTGAGTTAAAAACAATCAAATTATTTCTCACTTATTTAAAAAAATATTTATTATTTTGAGGAACTATCAACATTTTTTTCCTAAATTTCAACTAATTCTTTTGAAATTACTTTAGAAGTGAAACTGCTCTTAGTTGATCTCTTTCTTAAAGTTCAAGGTGACTACGTCTCTCTTCACACAGGGACTGGTACCACATAAAAATCTGCATGTGGGTCACTACGCAACCAACTTCTGCAGATGGCACTTAAGAAATAGACTCCAAATTGTCTGCTTCTGTTTCCATAGAAACCTTTATCACCACGAATAGAAACTGTTCCTGTTGAGAAGCTCTCAGACTACGAAAGCTCTGCTTGGAAAGAGGCAGAAGAATAAAACTCTATTGATAGCAAATAAATATAGAATTAGACCAATGAAAGTTGTTAATAAAAAGATAAAGTTTAGCTAAAGATGGGTTCTTACAAGTATATGCATTATAATTCATCTAAAAAGCATTACCTTGGTGAACACAGAAAAAGGATGCTGTCTGCTTCAGGTAAGTAGATCATTTGACCCTTGAGACGTAAGCAGCTAATCTCAGTCCCAGTCAGTTCATCTTCACATTCTAATTTTTCTACATCCAACAATCCTTCCTTGAAAAGGCAAGACATAACTGTTAACTAGTGCCTTTCTCCCTACCTAACAATCCAGCAAAAGGAAGGACACAAAACCTCATTTCCCACCAAACCCTAAGGGAGAATAAGTGCACCAATTAGAACAAGGGAGGGATTTCACCAGAGATCTGCCAGGGCATAAGCATAGTGGTTCCCTTACAAACACTGCAAAAAACTGAATTAATTCTCTGTGAGCACAGAAAGCCAGTAGGTGTACTATTGTTCACATATTTATTTAAATTTCCCATGATCATTTCTGATTTTCCAGTATGGCTACAACATAAATCCCTGTCTAAAAAAAAAAAGCCTCTCACTCCAGCATTCACAGAGCAACTGGGAATAGTTCCAAATAGAGAAGGTATGTGTACACAGGACCTTTGGGAAGGCTGTAAGAAGGATGAAGTATGTACTTCAGGACACTTTTGCTCTATCAATCCCAAAGTATCAACTGAATGAATATTTTATCACTCCTATTTCCATCACAAAAATGGAACCAAGAATAACAGACACTTTAAGAAAATGGGTAATGTTTTTTTTTTTTGTGTGTGTGTGTGTTTTTTAAGTTTTTATCAGTTCTTCTGACTTCTAAAATAGGACTTCATAGCTATACTGGGACTAAAAGATGTTGGTTTAATATGTGAAGTGGGGTTGTCCCATTGAGGCATTCTCAACACGTACTTTTGTTAATTCTGACCAGGTGACAGAGTCCAATCGCTCCTTGGGAAAATGAAAAAATCAACAGTCGCCTTTGAAATAGGACTCCTTTTGAAGTTTGCTTCTGATCTACTATACCTCCTCCATCTTCTAGAATGTCATAGTAGCTACTTCCCCAACCCCCAAAAAACACTTCTAGTATGTAACACACGTTACTTACTCACATTTAATAAAACAACATCTTGCTTACCTTGCTTCTCAGTACAAAAACCGTATTGATGTGTGAAAGGATCCCATGGAAACTAATGTCAATATGAGGACGGACCAGAGAGAAGACAGACAAAAGGCTGCAAGTGCCAGGCTGGAGCTAAAATATAGATAAAAAGGAAAGGAACACTTATTTAAAACATTGTTTATTTTATATTATCAGGTTAACCTGCTCAATTACATATAAGCACAGTAATATATTATTTTGTAGGAAAGTTACCCCAATTATGGACTCATATCTTGACCTATGCAACTCAGTGATGAAATAGACATCAAATAGTTTCATGAACATAAAACTTAAAATGGATTCAGGTGACTAATATTCAAATATAAGCTCATAGAAATGAGAGAAGTATTTTCAATGGAGAATGGAAATTTCTCTTTAAAAATGTAGCATGACCTATTAAATGCCAGTGGCTTAAAATGAAATTTAAATATCAAGACCATCATCAAATACAGTTTATTAAGAAACGGTTAATAATAGTAATAGGAAACAGTTATTGATTGCTTCTAAGGGATAAGGTCAGAGCCAGGCCAAGTAACAAACCTCAGCTCATAATGAGGGAGAGCCAGAGCCAGCATAAGAGCCCAGGCTTTTGGACTTATAGGTTTACACCTGATCCCATTTGGGCTAATATTGGACGATCAAGGCTTTTTAATTATAAGTAAAAAAGTATTTCTGGATACATGTCATGTACAATCCAAAAGTTGGTAGGGTAGAAAGAAAGAATTTTACAAATGGGTCAGAATAATGTCAATCAAACACAGATTCTCATCATCGCCTCAATTATTGTCGTTTGACGCTTTTTCTACCAAGTGCCATGATAAGCTCTGTCATTTTAGTGTTTTTTAAATTCTCTTATTTTCCCTAAAAATGTCAAAGGTTGATTTTGAAAACCATTTTCAGATAGTAGACATCCAATGAATATTTATTCAATGAATAAATAAGTGAAAGTTGATCCCTTATCTCATTTTTGAAAAGTATAGCATTTCCACCTGCCCTGGCTTTATTTTTTTTAATCCTCATGTAAGGGTATTTTCTCCTCTGATTTTTAGAAAAGTAGAACGGAGGGAGGAAATGAGAGGGAGAGAGAAAAAGAGAGAAAGAGAGAGAGAGAGACAGAGAGAGCCATTCGTGTGAAAGTTACATCACTTGGTTGCCTCTCGCACATGCCTGACTGGAGTAGGGATGAAATTACAACTAAGGTATGTGCCCTTGACTAGAAATCGAACCCAAGACCTTTCACCCTTCAATCCACCAGCTGATGCTCTAACCACTGTGCAAAACCAGCCAGGGCAGCTCTTGCCCTGCTTTTAACAGAAAAATGAAAGAAAAAATATGTGTTATAGGAAACGTAGCATTATGTTTAAATATATTATGCTCACATTTAAACAATTTATGTAATATACGATGTGCTGCACATCATCTAATACACAGTAGAAAGGTGCATAAATGAATGTTCACATGTAACAATAGCACCTTATGGCCTTTTGTCTCAGTCCCCAAAGAAGTGGGATGTCCTTTACCTGGGGAAGCACTCTGTAGATGGCATTGCCACACTGAGTGACCACTAGGTCCCGGTCAAATATTATGTGGAAAGGAAAAGCTTTGCAGAAGGTATAGGGGCTGATGCGTGAGTCCTGGGTACCATTTTCTTCAAATCTGTCAAGGTCTTCATAAAAATCCTCTTCTTTAGACTCTTTTTCTTCAATTAAAAATTGAGTATGATCACATTCTTCATTTCTTTGCTGAATAACCTAGATGACAAAGGGGAAAATGGTCTTAATTGTCTGCATGTCAATTTACTTAAAAAAAGGCCTAAGTATCTGAGAAACTAGTTTTGAGAATTGTATTTAAAGGGTTAATTTGAAAATTTTAATGTGTGCAAATGTTATACATGACTAAAATAGAAAACACTGTCTGGACATCTATTTATAAAATTCAAAGACTGAATAATTATTCACAGCAAAATTGCAAATCTGTTACCAGTCCCCTCTCAGCCTGTCCAGAGTCTGATAGAATTGGAGGAAAAGCAATCACTTATCCTGGTGCGCTTAGCCTTTCAATCTGGCACACTCCTATAATGAATGACCAACAAACTATACACATAGTATTATTTAACATGTTAAAAATAATATTTACAGACAAAAATAAAATAATAGAAGCACACTTTTAAAAATACATGCAATGTCATTTTTTACCCATCAATTGGCAAGTATATAAAATTACAATTCCAAGTTGGTTAGGATACATTAAAAATAAGGCTGAAAAAGGGTATTCATCTCCCCACTTTTCTCAAATTTGGGGCCACTGAAAAATGACTCTTTGGGCTGAATATGCTGAGCACACAAAAACAGCTCACTGAGAGACTGTCTGGATTAAATATAGAAAAAATGGTTCTCTTTATTGCATAACGAGAGGCCTGATGCACGAAATTCATGCAAGCGGCTCGGCCCTGGCAGGCCGGCTGCCTAGTGGCCCTTTGGCCCCACCCACTGGTTGTTTGGAAGGTCATCCAGAAGGTCATTCCACTGTCCAGTCTAATTAGCATATTTGCTCTTTATTACATAGGGTTGTATTCATATCTTGAAAATCTCACCTAAAACTAACAATCTGTATTATCAATAGCAATACTTTTTTAAAGTATGAAACCTGGTTTCTTTCAACAAGTAATCTAATTTTTTTAAAGCAAAACTTTTAGTTCACAAAATAAGATATTCCAATGACATTTCAGGGACAGGCAAAAAATAAAACACAAGGAAACAATGTACAGTAATATAATATCTAATTTTATATTATCATAGAATTTGACTGGCTTTGCTGCTTCTCAGCTTCTGTGTGCTCACAGAGAATGCAAACTAAATTAAGCAATGTATAAAAAGAAAAATCTGCTGAGACAAAGGGGAAAAAATAGCCTGTATTCCTGTATATCCTTGCATTCCAAGGCCAAGCATAGACTTCTGGCGATGCCAGCGTTACGGTTTATATATGCCTCTGGAGAGATCCACTAGCTGCAAGAATTAAAGGTAAATTCACTTTTAATATTCTGCCATCTCTATTTAGGGGTGTGTCCATTGCTGATCATTACCTTCATGTCGATTTCAGTGCCGTGTATTTGTTGAGCTACCGTTTTAATGATTCCGATGACAATATCCTGAAGTCCTTCTCTCTCTGAGTAGTAGTGCAGAATGAGTCCTTTGCCCTTATCTGCATCAGTGCACCTAAAGGAAGGTGCACGCATGCCTGGGTAGATAGTAGCAAGGTGGTCATGCAGAGCATCGAGGTTCTGCAATGAAGAGGAAATGCTGATGAATAAATAATGCTCCCACAATGGCTGCTGGCTCCTGGAAAGCAAGATAAGACAGAAGGCTCAACCTGAGCTTAGTGAGTAAACATTCACGCCCCTCCCTTGCTGCACTGAGACATCTGTAAGACAGGAACCACAGAGAACTTGAAACTCTAGTACAGTAATTAAAACAAACATCCGTGGCTATTAATAGTTAATGCATTTTAAGAAAAGATAAATAAACGAGCGGGGTATAAAAAGAATGCCTAAAGCAGAAAAAAGGAACACAGTGAGGGCTAAAGCAAAGATACCTGTATTTATAGGTTTGGGGCAGCTATATATGCATGACACTATCATTTCATGGTAACATAGCAGCTTACCCAATTTTTCTAAGACTTGATTTTTTTTCCTGATAAAATGGAGATAACTAAAATGATGTATATAAAACACAAACACATCCCAGGTGCAGTAAGCAAAATAGCAGTGCTCCCCCAAATTTCCATGCCCCATACTTCTCCTGGAAAAGGAGATTTTGCAGATGGCATTAAGGTTATGGATCTTGAATTGGGAAGAAGGTCCTGCATGATCCTGGTGGACCCAGCTAATCACATGAGTAACTGAGACCTTCAAAGCCAGGACCTTTTCCTGGTTACAGGGACAGAGAAGTGTAATGACAGAAGGTCAAAGAGATGGTGGCATGAGAACGATACTTGGTTCCAGGTTCTGACATGTAGGAGATTCGTGTGCAAGTGTGGAGGGAGGCCTCCAAGACCTCAGCAAAAACATCAGTTCATTCACATTGCCTGCAGGGGCTGCTGTTGTCATGTAAAATATGACAGACACTAAGTATTAGAAGTTAATATATAAACTACAAGCCTCTTGAGTTCCAAAACTATTAAGTAGTACGAAGGGTTCTTCCTATGACAAGTTATTCTCAGGGTAATTATTTTCTGAGGAGGAAAGACCTGAACACATAACCCAACCAGATCCTATCTGCTGATGTTGCAAAAAGGTTATGAGAGCCCTGACTGGTTTGGCTCAGTGGATAGAGCGTTGGCCTGCAGACCAAAGGGTCGAGGGTTCTTCTCCAGTTAAGGTCACTATCTTGGTTGCAGGCTCCTTCCCGGCCTGGGTCCTGGTTGGGGCGAATGTACAAGGCAACCAATCAACATGATTCTCTCAAATCAAAGTTTCTCTCTGTCTTTCCCTCTCTCTTCAACTCTCCCTATAAATCACTGGAAACATGTCCTCGAATGAGAATTAACAACAACAACAAAACTTTATGAGAGAAAATCTGGTGAGGGGAAAAAATCGCCGAGGTTTTTACTTATCTCCATTTCCCACAAAGTCAAAATTGAGCTTGTGGCTGCATTTAGGTAATTACTTAATGTCCTTGGGTTCAGCGACTGTGTTGTGGCTCATTTTAAAGGAAAAGAAAAGATAAGTCAACCAATAATTTGAAAAATGTATTTTAATAATATTTTTTTCAATTTTCTCTCTTCAAAGCATTTATATCACAAGTCAATATGCCTATATAATTTTCATACTCATCCATTTTCATCTTGTTCATATTACATGAGCACATTTCTACCTGTAGCTAATGAGTCACAAAGAGATAGACACTTTAGTCCTGGCCGGGTTTCTCAGTTGGTTAGAGCATAGTCCTGATAAGCCAAGGTCATGGGTTTGACCTCCTGTAAGGGCACATACAAGCAACCAATGAATGCATCAATGAATGGAACAATAATTCAGTCTCTCTCTCTCTCTCTCTCTCTCTCTCTCTCTCTCTCTCTCTCTCCCTCTCTCTCTCCTCTCTCTCAAAAATCAATTTTTACAAAATTTAATTTAAACAACAACAACAAAAAAGATAGGCACTTCAGCCTAAATGCTGAGCCATTTTTATTTAAATAAATGTATAAGTGTTGCTAATAGCATGTTGCTTAATTTATTGCTTCAAAACAAGTGGGAAAGCAAAACATTTGAAATCAGAATGTTCATCTTTTAATCTTTGTGATAACCAACTCTCCAGAGATTTACTGTTTTATTGAATTTACTCTTAATTAAGTGGACAAGTGAAGTGCTTTCCTGCAACATGGAAGCTTTAATACCACTTGATGCGATATTGATTTTCTTTAGATAGCATCTAACATAAAAACACTCTTGGGGTTTCTTAAGTTACAGCTTTCCTTACTTGGTTTTACTCTTTCAAAATTGAAGTGATTGCCACAGCCTGTCTAACATGAGAAATGGAATTTGTGATTAAAAATTAAATTATTTTCATTTGCGTACACTTATATTGCTAAAAATGTACCTTCGCCACAGTTAGACTAGAATCGTTTGCAGCCACATCAAAGGCCACAAAAAAGATTTTCAAAATAGCCTGGGTAAAACCTTGACTGCATTTTATAATATGATTTACACAAAGCGAATTGTTCATCCACATGGCTGTAGCAATGTATTCTGGAGAATAAAAGTTTCATATTAAAACTGGTATTGTGTGTGTTGTTGTTATTGTTTTAAATATACCATGGAAGCAGGTATACAAAGAAAAACTATACACGTTACAAAGAAGTATATACATTATGGGGAGGGGCAGATTGAGCAAAAAAAAAAAGAGAGAGAGAGAGAGAGAGAGAGAGAATGAGAGAGAGAGAGAGAGAGAGAGAGAGAGAGAGAGAGAGAGAGAACTCATGGACGTGGACAACAGTGATGGCTGGGGCGGAGGAGGGGGTGGAAGGAAGAGGGCATAGGAGGATAAATGGTGATGGGAAAAATAAAAATTTTAAAAAGGAAGTATACACATTAAACATAAGAAAACAAAGTGAACACATATACTCCAGCACAAGTAGATTCCCAAGAGTCAATAAAGAAAACCTCAAATGTGCTTCCCTTTCATTTCTCTCAGCTTTATGAAATTAGGAAACGGGAAAGGCTAGAGAGCAGGCCCACTGTCTTTTTTTTGCCTCACGATGCCAAAAAGTTACTCCAAGGCTTTCATTTTATTTCTTAATGCCCTGATATAATTTTACTGGTTTTCTGACATGCAAAATAAATGTACTTTTTCTCAGATCCACGAGTCCAGTTCATCTTGTCACCTAGCACTTATCATTTGCAGATAAAAAATGAGTGTTGGCAACCTGGGACACTGTATGGAGTTCTCCACATAGCCCATTCCACAGATGTAGGCAACCATAGAGAATGTATCCTTCCTCTGAGAAACACTAAAGTTCTACATGTTCCAAGATCTCAGAATGTTTCTACCTAAATGCAAATTTTCTTTGTAATATGCATGGCAAAAAGAGTGCATACATAATTACAGAGGCAGAATTTCTAGAAAGTAGCTACTTCTTTTTCCTGTTTCCAGGGCATTTAATTAAAAATCCCTAAAATCCACATAAGTGAACCCCTAAAATCCACATAAGTGGGCAGAGTAAAACCTTGCTTTGAAAGTTTTGAGACAGAGCCCAAACCGGTTTGGCTCAGTGGATAGAGCGTCGCCCTGCAGACTGAAGGGTCCCGGGTTCGATTCCAGTCAAGGGCATGTACCTTGGTTGTGGGCATATCCCCAGTGGGGGGTGTGCAAGAGGCAGCTGGTCGATGTTTCTCTCTCATCGACGTTTCTAACTCTCTATCTTTTTCAATTCCTCTCTATGTAAAATCAATAAAATATATTAAAAAAAAAAAAAAAGAAAGTTTTGAGACAGAGAGATGTTTCAGTCTCTAAGAATCTGAGAGGATGGGAAAGCGGGAGATATCTGTTATTTGAGAACATTACTGTATCCTGGAAGAAATCTTAAGATCAGTCCTTGCAAATCTCTTTCTCTTCTTTTTTTTTTTTTTTTTTTTTTTTTAAAGTAAAAGAATGGGACACAACATTTCCTTTCTTTTTATTCCTTGCACTTCTGAAAAACAAGGCCAACACCAACATTTACTTGTGAGAGTCATGTAATTTGACACCCATTTTAAGTTTTATAAGAAAGGAGTCATCTTAGAATTTGAACATGAGAAATGTAAGCAAGCAAGACCTCAATAAAGTGGAAAACACAACCCATAGAATGGTCAGCACCAAGGTCAGGGTGTGGACAGCATGAGGTCAGAGTCAGGAAGTTCACACTTTACCGCTCCTGTTCCTGCCTTTACTCCTTGGAGCTGCTCTTTGAGAAATAGCCCTCCCACTGGAAAGATACAGAAAATATTTTTTTTTCTTTTAAGAAATAATGCAGGCCCAATTTAAAAAAGAAATTATACCAGTTACTAAAATTCTTTAAATAATAACACTTTGAATTACATATAGCTATCATTACCATCTTCTCAAGAGAAATATTTTAAAGAAAAAGAACAAGTGATTATAAAATTGCCTGTGTAAAATATTTCACTTAGGATATAGCTCTTACACTCATGTTTTTTTTTTAAATCCCACTTATATAATACTATATTTGACAATCAATATTATGAAAATATATACTCAAATACTTATCTTCCTTTAAAGTCCTCACTTGTCTATTTAAAAACTGCAGATTACAGAAATTAACATTTTGGATGTTGAAAAAAACAGAGCCTTTGGAAATCCAAAAGTTAAAAATAAAATGAATGGAGCATTTTTTTTCTAAGAAACTCTGTAAATAATTTAGGGAAGTATTAGAATTTTACAGCTGTTCAGGAAAATCCTCACATTTCCCAAAATAACACTTTGGACAAACATCTAAGATTTTAGATTGGTCATCAATCCCGATTGTTCCTGGTGGGCTGGCCACGGCGTTGTGCTTTGGAGGCCAAAACCTGGAGCTGTCCTGAGCTGGAAGTCCCGCTGCAGGCCGCACAGAGGCCCTGCCAGAGTAACCCCCACATATATACACATTGCAAAGAAGTATATATATTGGGGAGGGGGCAGATTGAGCAAAAAAAAAAAAAAAAAAAAAAAAAAAAAAAATATATATATATATATATATATATATATATATATGAATTGAAGAAATGGGTGAAACTGCCCATTGAATGGGCCAGTGTTTCCAGCAAACTCTGACAGAATATTTGCAGTATGATTCAACTGAGATTTCTATGCCTATTTAAACAGGCCCATAATTTAAACTCAAACTCTTCTCTTAGATTGCCTTGGCAGCCTTCGATGCTTCTTTTAATTTCATTTCACCTCTGGGTGAAATCACTGGGTAGGTAAAGAACATATAATGAAATAATGAAATACCACTAAAAATGAATTGGTAGCTCTGCTGTGGACTGACTTGGATTTCATTCGCCAAAGCTATATATCATCTGATCCATGATAGCCAATACTGAAAGCTTCTGACTCAAAGAAATCAGTCCAGTGTGTGGCTGTCTAATCCTCTATATCCAATCTATAATTTTTCTCTAAATAAAGTTACATAGTTTCATCAAAAAAGGGGTTTTGTTATTCTCAGTAAAATATCTAGTCTTGAGCTACGGTCACATTTGCTTCCTATTTTTATACAAAGAGCACATCTTCCTTAAAAAAAAAAAAAAGGAAGAAGGACATATATTCATTCCCAGATAGACAGATTGTATCTGTGGAGATACTATCATTAAGAGATTATACATGGTTTCTGACTTCATGAAGTTTACATTCCAGCCCAACAAACAGGAAGGGATGATACAGTATGAGAACAACTAGGCTGGGAAAATAAATATACTATGAAAACATGAGAAATGCCAATGACCCAGAAGAAGTAATTTGACCAGCAGGATAAACAGAATTTATCGAGGTGAAAAGGAACATGAACAGTGTTCCAGATGAAGGAAAGAGCAGATGCAAAAGCTCAGAGGATAAGTAGAGCAAGATTAAAAAAAAAAAAAAAAAAAAAAAAGTTATGCTTGGCTCGGCTGCAGAAGGGGAAGAGGCAGAATGTATAGGGCATGTAAGTAGTTACAATCATTTTAACTATTTTTTGACATTTCCCAATGAGCAATGGAGAATCACTGAAGAGTTTTAGCAAAAAAAAAAAAAAAAATTAATGGTATGATGAGATATATTTGCATTTTAGAAAAATCACTCCAGTCATCGAATGGAGAAGAGACTGGAGGAGTCATGAGAGAGACAGGGCAATGGAGAAAAGGGGTAGAACTCTCAGAATCCAGCTCCATGTGGCTATGGCTATGGCTATCCTCCTGGAACAGTGCAGCCTGGAACAGAGAGGAGCACACAGAGGCAGCTTGCTTTCTCATGGCACCACGACGACCTGAACAGGTGGCCACCAGGAGCCAAAGTACAACAAAAGCAATTGGGACATTTATTGTGCTATGTAAATGTGATCATTGAGAGCAAGAGAGGAATTAAGATGGGAAAAAAGCAAATCCAGACTTTGTTGATAAGGTGACAGTATTAAAAAAAAAAAAAAAAAAAAAAAAAAAAAAAAGCTGAAACCGGTTTGGCTCAGTGGATAGAGCGTCAGCCTGTGGACTGAAAGGTCCCAGGTTTGATTACAGGCAAGGGCATGTACCTTGGTTGCGGGCACATCCCCAGTAGGGGGTGTGCAAGAGGCAGCTGATCGATGATTCTCTCTCATCGATGTTTCTAACTCTCTATTCCTCTCTCTTCCTTTCTGTAAAAAATAATAAAATGTATATTTTTTTTTAAAAAAAAGGAAGATGTATTCCAAAATCCAAAGTCTTAAAATACTTCCAAATATCTCCCTTGAATCCATTTAACATAATTCACTGAAATACAGCCTGTTCCCATTTAATTTACACGTCTCCTGGCAGCCACTCCGTTTGGAAGTGGCAGCGTAGTTGGACACCAGTAGTTAGGTAAACCTGTGGCAGGCGATCGCAAATCAGTTTCCATCTTGATTTATCGCAGTTTTAAGTTTATAAGAAAAATGTCACTGTGTAAACAACAGACATTTTGATTAAGCACCGCAGTTCTTATTTTGGCTGTTAAATCAATAATGCAGCTGGACTGGAAGTCGTTTACATTCCCACGAAACTGGGCTTCGGTTCAGCTACTATTGCACTGACATCATTTTCCAGCAAGATCTGGCGGCTCTCAGCAGCCAGTTTGGAAATATCCTTTACAAACAACCACATAATTTTCAACATTAACACATCAAGAAGAAGGTCTCACAAATGGCCTCTGCTTAAAATAGGACAGACAATCCAAAAATAGTCTTGCGTCCAATGTGTGCTTCCCTGGTGAAAATCTCGTAAGGTAATTTTAGCAGGAACATAAGACGAAGGCCTTTGGTGACGTTATTTATCTTGTCCTGCACCTGACATTGCCTCAGCAAGGTCTCTTACTTCCCTTTCTCTAGTAGATTGATTAATATGTAACTCACAGCTATGGTTCTCAGATTTGCTTGGTGGCAGAGCACCTGAAAGCCAGCGCGTTTTTTCTTAAACAACAAGCTCTGGGTAGAAAGTCAGAGATACTGACATATTATTTGATTATATTATACAAACTAGGAATGCTTAGCAAAATAATAATAATAATAAGAAGACCATGTTATAGAGCCTACATAAAACCAAACTAGTATCAAATACGACCATTAAAAAAAAAAAAAAAAAAAAAAAAGGCAGTTGGGCCTGCTCAGTGTGGCTCAGTTGTTGAATATCAACCTGTAAGTCAGGAGGAGATCATGGTTTAATTCCCAGTCAGGGCATTTGCCCGGGTTGCAGGCTCGATCCCCATTAGGGGATGTGCAAGGGACAGCCCATCGATGATTCTCATCATTGATGTTTCTATCTCTCTCTCCCTCTCTCCTTTCCTCTCTAAAATCAATTAAAACCTTTTTAAAAAGGCAGTTGGCTACACCACAATAGGCCATGATGAGTTTTTCAAAGAACATTAATTTACAACTTGCATATTTATAGCAATCAAAAGTTGAAGAAAAAATATGAAGAAAAATGCTAAAAATGTATTCAAGACCTAATAGCTATTATGTTATTGAATTGGAAAAAAAAATGTCACTGATTCCATTTCAGCAGCAAGACATTCTCATGCAGCTGACTCAACAACAGGATGTTTGAAAATTATGTTTAAAAATCATGAATTCAGCACTTTTAACAAGACCTCAAATCGCTTACCTGAAGGAATTCTCTGACATTAGATCCCAGCACTCGCAAGATTGTATCATAACCAGATTCTTGACAAAAGACAAAAAACATCTTCCCAAACATTTGGAGGATTTCTCCAGCATTGAGATCTATTTTATAGGTTTGAAAGAATAATAAAAACAAAATGTATTATACATAGACTATTATTAATGGGAAGAAGGAAGATAAATGCATATTAATAAAATGTTAAAGATCCTCATTTTTTGTGCCCAGTGAATATACAACACATAAAAAATTTCTGGCCAGGACAATACAATGAAATCTGCAAAGAGAATATACTACCATGCTAACACTGTACATTTGTACTTAATAGCAAAGCAGTCAGTTCTCAGCTTCCATGACAAACTAGTTAATTAATTTTAAGCATTTTCAAACGTATATTTAATTTAGAACTTTTTTTTCTGTTTAAATATTTTTTAAGTGTCTGTTTTATTTTTAAACTCTATTCTTGGCTACACTAGATATTTAATTTTCAAAAATTGACAAATTTACATGAAAAAAATCATACTTGTTTCAATTTTGATTACAAATGAGATTGAATATTTTCTTATTATTATTAACAATTTACCATTTTTCTTTGTAATTCTTATATTCTGCAATAGATGGCATTTGCTCTACTCGTTATATTTGGCAAAGCTAAAAGCTTATTTCTATTCTATCCAATTACTCTAAGAATAAGAGAAACTATTTTCAGAAAGACTTTTCATAAAGCTATTTTTTTTAACTTTGCCTTCATTGCATAAGTTTTGTCTGTTTCTTTTACCAATAGCTAACAAAACTTATTATAAAAGAGATTTGGGAGTTATATTTTCTGCATTTCATAATGCAGTAATGTAGTAATTATTACACTTGTGAAATTCTGTGCTGTTGGCATAGTAATGTGTTATTACATTATTGAACTTATTACATTAAGGAGCAATAATTGTTTTATTCTTCTCCAACATATGGCTTTCTGTGGGGAGGGGCAGAGAGCACCTCTATTCTCTAAAGAGTTCATAAAAGAAGAAATAGACTGAGCATAACTTGAGCCTAACATTATACATAAATGTCTTTCCCATCAGGTTTGTGCAATGCATAACCTACATCCCTGTTCATCTTATATGATACTAGTAAAAGTCTAATATGCTAAGTGTCCAGTTGACCGGTCTGCCATTCAACCAAAATGTAATATGCTAACGGGGGGTGTCAGAGAGCTGATGTTGTCCCTCTCCCACAGACCAGGCCAAATGACTCCACTGGTACACAAATTTGTGCACTGGGGCTCTAGTCACTATATAATGGACCATGGATTCCTTTGCACTTCTATATGTAACTTAGCCAAAGGAAAGTCATATTCAACTTACTGAGGACTTTGCTTGCAGCAGCAACCAAATCATAAGTTTTAGAATCATCATATATTATTCTGACAAGAAACTGTCCTTCTTCATCTAACTGGGCCTCTTTTCTGGAAAACAAAAATGAGAGAGACATGAAAAAAAGCTGGAATAAAAGAATAGGTTCTGTAGTTACAATGGTTGTATAAATAATGGTTTTATATATGAAATATAACTCCTTTTTGGCAAATTTGTTTAAATTGATGTGCTGTACTTAAAAGTCTAGTAGTTAAGAGGAAATTATTTCACATCCCCCTCTCCAAATTAAAAGGACATAGCTGAAACCGGTTTGGCGCAGTGGATAGAATGTCGGCCTGTCCACCTGAAAGGTCCCAGGTTCGATTCCGGTCAAGGGCATGTACCTTGGTTACGGGCACATCCCCAGTAGGGGGTGTGCAAGAGGCAGCTGATTGATGATTCTCTCTCATTGATGTTTCTAACTCTCTATCTCTCTCTCTTCCTCTCTGTAAAAAAATCAATAAAATATTATATTTTTTAAAAAGGGACATAGGTAAGTATGTTTTAGCAGGGCTAGCATTTCTATAGTACTTTAACACTCAATCCAACACCTGATATTAAATACAACCAAGAAATTTTTGGTTTAATAAATAGCTAATAAATAGTTGTTTAGTCCCTATCTATGTTAGGCATTGTTCTAGGCACTGGGAATGCAATGTTTAGTAACATAAACAAAAATACCTGATTGCCTGGAACATTCATATCCCAGGAGGGCAGACAGAAGGAGCCTAAAACTCACAAGTGACACATATAATGGTAAGTTTGGAGAAAAATAAAGCCCGATAGTGGGATAAGGAGTTCAAGTACAATAACTGGAAGCTCACTGAGTAGCCGGAAATTGAGTGGAGTCTGAAGGAGCTCTGGGAGTGAGCCATGAGCCAGCGGGGAAGTGTGCTCTGGGCAGAGGGAAGTGTACATGCAAAGGGCTAGCCAGGAGCAGCCCTGGGGAGTTGTGGGAGCAGCAGAGGCTGGGGCTGGAACAAGGCAGAGTAGCTGTGAGGGAACGGATCAGAGAGGCAACATGAGGTTGGGCATTGGAATGACTGACATTGACATTAGAAAGGGATGGAGGGTCCTGGCACTGCTGAAATGAGCACTGAGACTAGCGGACCTGGTTAAAGGGGTCAATCCTGCTACTGCGTTGAGAATGGCCATTGCCAACATTCTGGCAAGAAATGCTGTTGGCTTGGTTCAGAGCAGAAGCAAAAAAGGGAGAAGTGGTCCATGTTGGGATATATTCTGAAGGCAAATTCAACATGATCTGCTGAGAGACTGGATGGAGGGTGTGAGAGAAGGAAATGACACTGAGGTTTTGGCCTGAGCAACTGGATAGATGTTGTCCCAATTCAGATAGTAGCTGAATTGGGAAAGACTGTTGGAGGTGGACAGGGGGGGTAAGATAAAGAGCTGTGCTTTAAACATACTGAAGTTTGAGTGCCAAGTGTACTGAAAACATCTCTTAGCATCTCCTTAGCTTATTACATACAGTAGCTCAAAATATACACAGTGTTAATGAAAGGGCTTTAGAGTAACCATTAATAGTTGTCCCAAGTGTATACATATATCTATTGTGATAGGATTTGGATTATTTTTCTCAAACTAGTGTCCAAAGGGGAAGGAAAATCTATTGTCCAAAATGTTGCAGCTATAGAAGAGAAATGACAAGTTCCCAGATACCGTTTCCAATGTTAAATTCACAAAAATACATGGAGCTTGGACATCAATCTTGGACTCTCAGTCTAAATCTTCTAAATCCATGTATGCTGCCAGGAGAATATGAGAGAAACTAGCCACTATTCCTAGGTAAGCTTTCAACACAGGAGCTCGAAATAGCTCCTTCAATGCTGCCAAGGGCGGCCACAAGGAGTCACCACCACTTTCTCTTCCTCAGGAACTATGCCATCACAGCTGCTGCCCATGGCTTTACCAATGTCCACTCAAGGGAACAGCTCCAAAGAGCGGCATGTCTGAGGTCCAAGTGGGATGGAGATGGTCTTGAAAAACCCTGTGTCCTTCAGAGCATACCATGTATTTGCTGTCAGTTATGCATAACAGTGCATGTGGAGGGAAAACAACAACAAAAGAGCATAATTTTGGAGGCACAGAAATTTCAGTTTCAGAGCCCACAATCCAAATGAACTTGAGCAAATCAAATAAAGCACCTGAGCATTAAAAACTGTCTTTTCTAAAATGGGAGCAATTATATAACCCACCTTCCACAGGTGTAAAGAGATAAAGTGCAAAAGTATGTTCTAAGCAGTTGAAAACATATATTACGAATGGCCATCGTACTTCCCATATCTATATATTCAAAAATTTGATGTGAAATCCTTCTTTTTTCTGCGGCACATACACAAACACATTTTCAAAAACCTCAAATCTTTTTAATACCCAAAGTCAGTGACATATCCGCAAAATCATAACAATATAATCTACAAACACTGACTTATCTTTTGATAAATGCTATTATATACCTATGCGTTTAATCTCTATTTGTATAAAAATTCAAAATATAGATGCTTCTTGACTTATGATGGGCTTGTGTCCCAGTAAACATCATAAATTGAAAATATAAGTTGAAAATGCATTTCACACACCTAACCCAGCCCACCTCAAATGTGCTCAGAACCCTTACATTAGCCTACATTTGAACAAAAAATTGTCTAACACAAAGCCTGTGTTATAATAAAGTGTTGAACATCGCATGTAATTTATGGGCTACAGGATCTGGAAAATGCTGGCAACAGTGCACTGTAGCATACCAGCTGTTCATCCTCACCACTGCGTGGCTCGCTGAGCTCACTGCCACTGCCCAGCTTCACTAGCCTGGGAAAAGATCAAAATCCAAAATTTGAAATGTGATTGCTACTAAATGCATACCGCTTTTCTTCCATTACAAAGTCAAAGAAATCTTAAGTCAGATCATGGTAAGTCAGGGTTCGTTCGTGTAAGAAAAAAACTTTAAAAAAATCTTCCACTGTCCTGAGATACCCACTGTTAATATTATATTCAACTTGTTCGTGCTCGAATATACTTGTATAAATAACACACATTAGATTATACTGCTTTCAAACCCCCTTTCTTGACTTACTATTTGATAGGCATCCATTTATTTTTAAATGTATTTCTCTACCTTGACTGCATAAAATTGTATTCTGTACACATATTAAAGTTTTAGTAGATAGTTAGATTGCTCTTATTTTTCACAAGTGCGAACAATGTTGTGATGAATGTTTTGTAGCGAACAATTTAGGTTTCTGGGTAAAATAGGATACATGCCTGGAAGTGGAGTTGCTGATCTGAAGGACACGGATAGACTAATTTTTCTCACGTTGTCACTAATATCTTGTTATGAAACAGCATTGCCCTACAGACTGGAATTTCAAAGCTTCTGATTTAGGGCATCCTAATAAAAAATAAATTGATTTTAACTAAATATATAATAAAATGCAAATTAGTTCATGCTCTCACTGTGCCGTATTCTGTTTCTTCCACTTGGGATAAATCAAATAACATACATATCCTTAACAGTCTCAGTTTCTTAGAAGCACCAGTCCATAGCACCCATTACGTAAGTGACGTACAAACGGAATACAAAGTCCCTCTAAATAAAATAAAGGAATGGCCACTTCCTATTCCCTACCCATGAGTCAAGGCACTCTTTTTTCCCCTAGTTTTTCTTTTAATAAAATAAGCTCCCTTATCTTTTAAGCTTTGCTTCCTGAACTGATCAACCCAACATGCTCCCTGGAGGGAGGATAAATAAAACAGTAGGACATGAAAGGAAATAATCACTTCCACTAAAACTTTCACACTGGATTCCAATGACTTATCCAAAATATTTAGGATTCCTTGTTTATTATATTTATCTTTAAAATCTTTGGCAGCTTCGGGTCACTCTTTATTCTTTCCCACAAATGCCCTCCCTCCTCCACCCCACCCCCACTCCACACTCCACCTCAGGGAAAGGAGCTTTGCCACAAATATTTGAGCCTCTATTATGCCTTGAGACTTTTCTAAGCACTTTAAATATACCAATGGACAAAATAAATTTCCCTGTCCTCACAGAGCACACATTTTAGCTGGCAGAAACAAGCAATAAGCAATAAGCATAATATATGCTCAAATTTTATAACCTATGATGATAAAATTTAGTGATAGATGCTGCAAAAGAAAGTAGGTGAGGATAAAGGGGTGAGAGTAGGACCTAGGAGCAAGGGGCAGGATGCAGTGCTAGATACAGTCAGCATGGAGGCTGCCTGGAAAAGTTAGCTTCCCAGCAAAGACTTCAGGAGGTAAAATTGATCTCTATGACTTCATAATCTTTTGGGACCCATTTCCCTTCTTCCTGTAGCCCATTCTTCATCTTTTTTTCCCCCTTATCAGAGGAAAAGCTAGTTGGAAATATAATTAACAGTTTAGTGAGACTTGATTTAATACATTGAACTGAACAGAATTTACAGTGCAAACGGAAATAATAAACAATAGAATCCCAGGCCACATGGTCATTGAAGACAAATTCTCACCTGGGGAGAAATAGCAAATTATTGCATTCTAGACATTTGTATGTAGAATAACTATTTAAAAACTATTTATACATGAAAATATTTCCGAGTAGCAATTCATTTCCTAGTTACTTTTAGAGATGGTTATTTGTTATAGTTTAAATTGATCATTTATTTGCACCACTTACCCTTCACCCAAAGGTGTGTGTGTGTCGGGGGGGTAGTATTTTGTAATTTTGATTTGTGATTTTTGATGTTTGTTTTTTTAATCCCTGGTGCCTAACCCAAGTACCTGGAGCAGAACGTGCATGCATTTATTGAATGCATGCTTGTTTTAAAATAAGTGAAGGAATGAATTAGTTGCAAATATTTCCCCCATGAGTCTCCAAAGTCCCTACTAAAAATCAAACAATCAAATATTACTGTGAAAATATTGTTCTATTTTTTTTAATTACAAGGTATAGTCTAATTGGTGTAGCTCAGTGGTTGAGCATCAAGCCATGAAGCAAGAGATCACAGTTCAGTCCTGGTCAGGGATATGTCCAGGT